GTCAGTGAACTTGTATCTCCTACTCTTTTCATTGATTTCATTTTTTCAAAACCTGAAATGAAGCTCCGTTTGTTCCCCTGACAGCATCCTAAGAGATACACCTGTTTCTTCTCGATAGCTGAATCTGTAGATGTACCAAAGGTCTCTGAACTTAGTCTTTAATGATTAATTTTTTTAATGAGGCAAACCCAGAAAACTGCATACCTGTTTGCAACCATCAATATTAATAAGAAAAACCAAATCAGTGCACAACATAGTAACAATCTTAAATGTCAGTGAATTTGCAACCAAAAAAGGCCTGAAAGAAAAAACAAAGTGTTGATTCAATCACTTCTTCATTGACATTATTTCTGGAGATAAATCAATTTCCAATAGCAAAGGCACCTTCCTAAACCAGTTAGTCTCTTAAGAAATCTCTACTCGGAAATCACCATCACCTAGTCTTAACTAAACACTGTAAACTATATTCTAGAAAGGTAAATCTTTCTTAGGCAACACTGCCAAGCTAGTCACTGTTCCTGCGAGGGCACTTTTCAGTCCAGCCTTAGCAATTCAGCAACTTAGCAAGGCCCTGTCTCAAGAATTTTTAAAGCTGGGGAGGAGGAGGGAGTATGTGGCTCAGTGCTAAGGTCCTGAGTTCAATGTCCAGTACTGGGAAAAAACATGAATAAATTTACTAACCTTTTCGGATGAGCCCCTCAGTACAAAATAAAAATTAAAATTTTAAAGAAATGAACATATAAAAATATAAAATACTCAACAAAATTCCAAAAAAAATGTGATTTTCAAACACAAGAGAGGAATAGCAACACTTTCTGGGATCATGTGTTAGCATCAACTTAAGTCTGTGTTATTTAGGATAATTTATTGTTCCTGGTATAAACAATTTCCCTAGGGGCCCATATTAGGTTTCAGTGAAAGTTTATAACAATGATGAAAACATCCAAAATACCTTTTCACTTGACTTTGTATGAACAGAGTGGCTATTTCCATTAGAATGAAAGTTTTATGAGGGCACGGATATGTTTATTTTGGTCTCCAGTGTACACTCAAATTCAGTACTGAACCCAATGCCTTGTATAGAATTGTCTTCAAAATATACCCATTGTACATTTGAATGACTATTCAGCTTTGTTGGGAGAAGTAAGGTACATAAAGCAATAAAGATTTCCTGAAAGTAAATTGAATTTGTCTTCAAAAGTCCAGCATTAAACATGACTTACCAGAATATTTCACAATATATGTAAATGAAAATCAGTCATGATTTTGCAAAAAGTAAAGCTTGTTAGTGAAATTTGTAAATATTTAGTATTGAGAGATCACTTGATGTGCAAATGATTTCACAAGAGCTGCTAAGTTTATGCCCGTATTTACTGGTACCATACTGAAGTCCAAATCACAACTCATATGCTACAGGACAGAGTGTGCCTTTTCATTTGAGATACACATTTAATTATACGAATCAACAATGAATCAGAGGGAGCTTAACTGCTGTTAAAACATTACTACCAAAAAATAAAATTAATAAAGTGGTCCATTGGTATGAAAAATTGATTTGTGATTATCACATTATGAATTAACTTCAGTATTTATCCGCTGTTTTCTACAAGATTAGAAAAGGATTAATATATATTTGTTCAAGCTTGTAAGCTAGATATCACCTTTTTGTGTAAATGAATACATGAAAACTTTTATCATAAATATATTTGGGGTACTTTTTTAAAAGATCATGTATAACAGCTTCCTGCACAGGTTATAAGAGCAGTCTACTCTTCTATTTAATTCCAAAGTTTTTCAATGGACCCTTCAAGCCCTCTTCCCTGGGGTCTTCTCATGCCCAAGGCCGAATGTTCCAGCAAAAATGATTCCAAAACTACTCTAAGCCTTAGGTTTAAATTTCCCACTTTTCTGTCATCAGTATGCATTCTAACTAAAGCAGTATGTAAATAAGTACTTGAATTAATTAAAACTATTTAATAATAGATAATGTCATGATCAGTTGCACTTCTTTCATATGTGTGTGCACACACATGCATTCTCATAGTACATAAAATGAAAATACATTTTTAGTGGAATAAGAAATCTGAATCTAAAAGACTAGAAAGAAAATATTCTCAAAACGTTCATCAGTAGTACCCCATTTCAAAACAGGCTTTCACTTTGCATGTTCTTGAATGGTCACATTAAAAGTACAAACACAATTTTGTTGGGGGTGTTTATTAGATGAAATTAGCTCACACTCATTAAAAGTAAAAGCCTTTTGTAGAGACTTTTGGGTATAGTTTAAAACATAGTAAGCTTTGGGGGAGAAAAAAAAGTCCACATAATCTCTTACTATTTCTAAAAGGGCTTATTTATGATACCTAGGAAGTGGTATTAAAGACAATAAGGATACAATCTTATACTAAATTCAGGAATCACATATATATATATATATATATATATATATTCACTTCAGTATTTCTACAGAGAAAATAAACTCTTTTCTTCCAAACGCTGCCATCATTTCAACTATTAGTTAGCCAGTTAAAATAAAGTTTTCTTTTTTCTCTTTTTTTTTCTGGTTTTCTAAAGACATGGTCTCATTTTGTAGTTCAGGCTGGCCCTGAACTTTCTATATAGTCCAAGCTGGCCTCAAATTCACTGTGATCCTCCTCCTTCAGCCTCCCAAGTTCTGTGATTCCAGGCATGCACAACGTTTTCTTACAGTGAACTAACTTCTACTACTCTGTAACTCCTAGCCATTTTTCCTAACTCTACTTTAGAAATAGTATAAAGCATATCTATCTGCACCCTAAAATATAGCTCTTCATTAAATACAGTTCTAACCTCTATTCTTTCCTATTATGTCCTAATCTTCAGTCCCATAAAATACTATTAATGATTAATGAAATTTTTCTACCTTCCTTTGACCTTTTGAACCTGTCACAATATCTTATCTTGTAAACTAATCAATAAACTTCAGAAAATGTACTAGATGTGAAGGTTCTCAGACATAGGAGAGCTTTGTTGCAGGTGACCTTTTGTATTCTACTGACCCTTACCTTTATTAGTCCCATAGCCTTGTCCCCATTTCCAGGAAATGTCAGATTTTAACACGTGGGTTCTTTCCCACTTCCCATGGGATTTTGACAATATTTGTTTGAGTTGATGAATTCTTACAAAATGATACTTCACAATGTTGTCTCTAATTTCTGATTCTTCTCACATGAGAAATCTATTTTGGGTTGTCCATCTGAAAAATATGGTACAACTTCCTCTATAGTCAATTTATCATAAATCTACCATCCTAAAATGAATCTTTTTATTACATAAAACATCCTTTGTACTTTATTTTTTAAAAAACACCCAAATTTGTACTTAACCATCATTACCTCCATTCCCTGCCATAAAACAAGCATTTTTACCCAGTTATATTCAGTCTTCCTAGAACTATAGCTGTAAGAGAAGTGAGGACAGCTTTAAAACAAAATACATGGTAGCAGTTTCCACCATAACCTTTAGGATAGTCAAGAGGATAAATTTCTAAAAGTAAAACATCCCAGAGTTGGGAAATTTCCAAGGCTGACCTGTGTAAATGATTAACCAAGGACAAAAACACTGACAAAGGAGGTCTCGGGAGAGTAAAGAACTCATCTGCTGTGGGATGGACTGAAGGGCAGGTGCCACGATTTATCTGTTTGCTCACAGGGAATAAAAAAGTCCTCTCATATTTTTAACCCTGAAATAACAACCTCATTTTAGTTCTGAGAATGAATGGTTATGTTTAACACTTGACAGTGTAAGTTTATTTGAGGTTGAAGCCTGTTCCAGGCCTGTGATGGGAAAGTAGACATGGAAGTTCACTTCTCTTTTTCTCCACCTCCATCCTTCTCATTCCTTACACTCTGTAGGATGCGTGGAGCTCCTCCAGCATTAACACAGGGAAAGGAGAAGCTACCAGCAGGAGCAGCATTAGGAAAAAAGAACCTAATGGGCACCATGGTGTGCTCCTGTTGCTTCCTCTGATTATGGAGATGTATGAGCAGGCTGCTTGGCCATCTCTTTCACAATACCCCTAGAGATGTCTCACAGCCAGCTGGCACCTTGAGACTCCCCTGGGACCTTGTTTCCCAATGGGAGCATCTCATTGCCTGCAGGCCGCTGTCCTCCAGATAGCCCTTTTTAGAAGGTAGGGTTACACCTTGTTCTCCTGCTTGGTCTACATTAGACCAAGGCCACCTCACCCACCCTCACCCTTTAGATTTCTCCAGCCTGAATCAGGCACCTGTCCACTGTGCCTCAAACTCCCAGGGTCACCTAACAAAGTTTCTGAGTAGCTTCCTTGAAGCTCGTTTAGCTAAGCTTGAAGTGAGGAGAAGCCTTTCCTACCTTTCCCCATATTTACCAAACTGACAACTTCTTTCAAAAAATACTTTGCCTCATTTTTATTGTTTTGCCAGATGAATTCCTAACCTTCTCTTACAGAGCCTGGAGGCAGATGGCAGTGATTGCTCCCCTGCACCCGCTTTGTGCTCCTGCATTAGTGTGGCTGCCCCTTTCTTTGGAACTGAAAGCCTTCTTCATTTACTTCCTGTTCTGCCTTCTGTTTAAGCCTTACATGAAACTAAAACAAAAGGGAATGAGAGAGAGGAGGGAGATAGAAAAAGAAGGGATGAAGAAGAAGCCATTCCATTTCGGCATTATTGTAGAGATGCGACCTCAGGAAATAGTTTTCTTATTAACAGATCCAAATCAGTTGACACAATCATTTGACTAATCTACTCTCCATATTAATTCACTCATTTTTTCTGCTGTTCATTAAAATATAGCAACATATTATGAAGTTGTCACCTATTATATGAACATAGCTAGAAAGGTGGACCCCCAATTAAATTGCATCTAAATATTAAGTTAATGCTACAGTAAAATAGCTTGTGTAGAAGATCACTTCACACATGAACATTTTTTGTAATAGATATTAAAAAAGACCAGACAAACTTTCTATTTCTGGTTCCCAGGCCGAGACTATGAAAAGGAGAAAGTCTGCAAGGAGCTTGCCCATCTGGGAAAGGATGACTTCAGAACTCTGTAAGTGTGCAGGACTCACGCAACTCCGGTTCTCGACCTTGAACAAAAGTAAAGGCAACCATCCTCCATTCAGTGCAGAGGTAGAGCTGATGTCTGAGAAGGCAAAGGGACAGAGTTCCGGGTCCTTTGCTGGCAGAGTCAGGCAAGGCGGGGACATCCACCAATTCCCATGTATTTACGATTACTATGGAATAATAACTTGGCACCAGTAAATCTATGAAGGAGCTTAAAGAGAATGACTAAGGGATCGTTTCCTTTGGTAAATTGTGATAGTACATTATAGGACTCTGGTAAACCAAGGTAATAAGGTACACAACGAGATTTTTACAGGAGACTTAAAACAGTTACTGGACTAGTTTGATGGAAACTCCAAGTCCAATTTCTACTGCTTGCAAGATAAACTTTCCTAGAACAAAAACTACTTTTTAAATTCAACCTCATTTTTAATTAGCCAAATAAAAATGTATGTGTATGAAGTATACCATTTAGAAATTGACTACTCCTCATACTTTAATATGTGCAAAACTATGAAAGTTCAAATATAATGAATACTATAATTGATTTTCCTCTCAGGTCACTAGTGCTCTATAGTAGGAAGTTTTCCAGCGGCACCTTTGAGCAGGTCAGCCAGCTTGTACAGGAAGTTGTCGCCTTGACAGAAGAGTGCTGTGCCGAAGGAGCCGACCCCGACTGCTATGACAACCGGGTGAGTGTGCACAGCCGTTGTCCCTACGGTGGCCCCGAGCAGAAACGCACAGAAGCTTCACTGCCACTTCTCAGAGAAGCTTAGAGAGCAACTCCACTTCCTCCAAATTTAGAAAAAACATAAAGCCTAAAAGTGCTGAGAGGTGATGGAAGGGACGATGAAGAATTCACTTCTGTGATTCATTCATCATGTTACTTTCCTTCCTTGGCGGGATGGGTCTTTAGAAATTTTACCTTAGAAAGAAGACCAATTTACAAAAAAAATAAGGACACGGACCTTAAATTACTTTTACACACATAAATGACAAAGTAACTTTTTCATGATGAAAATGCTATTTCTAATCTTTTTTGCTTTATGATGCCAATATCTCTTCTACAGTTTTATCTCAAGTGTCAAATTTTTCCAAAATGAACACTGTCACTACAATCCCTTGGGCAATGCTTTGTCCGCACACATGCATCAGTGTGGTAGTGCTGAGGCCGGAAATCACAGTGCACTAGTGGTCTTCAGCCTGTGCCATTCTTGAAAATATGTCTTGAAACTCAGAGGAAAATTGATTTTCACACCTCTTTGACCTACTGAATCAAAGTTCTGGGTTGTGTAACCTTGGCATCGCTTATTCAAGGGATAACTGTGATGCAAAAGCATGCTCTGGAGCAACTAGGCAAAGAGTTGTAGGCCGGAATAGTGAAGTATCAGCAGTCTGCTCATTCAATAAGGGGAGGAGAGGTGGTCCTCATCCCTGTCGAGGCAACCTCAGCCAAAAGCAGTGGGGGCCGGCCCTGGAACCACAAGGGTATGGATGCTCCTATCACCTTCATAGAGCTCATGTCCCCATGGACAGACACAGGGCAAGGGGCTGAAATTCTAGTGGCTGCAGTCAGATGTAGTCTATTTGTTATAAAGGATCTATTGTTTGGTCTACTCTGAAGGGAGTCTTCTCTCACCATAAATAAGACCTGTACTTGCCTCTAATGTAATTGTGCACGTTTTCATATTGACAAACCATTTCACAGACACTTCTGCATGACCACTTTATTACTAATGAGAATTGTTATATTACATACTAAGATGTTATGCCAAAAGTATAAATAAAAGGTAAAATAAAAGACAGATGATAGGAAGTAGGGAGTTTGGTCTTTCTCAGGGAGGAAGGGGGTCAAGAGATGGAGGGAGACGGGGAGAGGAAGGACAGAGAGGAGACAGAAATGAGGGTATGCTAGGCACATGTACCAACTTCCCATAATGTAAACATCAGGCACTTCAGACACGTACCAGTGAAAAAAAGAGCTGATGCTAGATGGAGAACTACAAGGGAAGCAACTTGCATAATCTGTGAGTTTCCCTTTTTTCTCCTTGCGGTCCAGACCTCAGCCTTGTCCGCCAGGTCCTGTGATAGCGACTCTCCTTTCCCCGTGCACGAAGGCATTCCCGAGTGCTGTGCCACGGAGGGCCTGGAGCGGAAGCTCTGCATGGCCGCCCTGAGCCACCAGCCGAAGGAGTTCCCCACCTACGTGGAGCCAACGAATGACGAAATCTGTGAGGCATTCAGTAAAGATCCGAGGACATTCGCTGACCAGTAAGCTGTGCTTGTTTTAAGCAGATATTAGGTTATAAACTTTCTGCACTGAGTCTCATCTACCTCCCCACTCTGAGCAGCACCGCTTCAGCGGCAACCTGCGCAGCTACCAGCGGTGGGACCTGGGCTCTGTCCCGAGGCGGTGCATCTTCCTGTCAGCCCCGATCGCGAATGCCTCTCTCAGCCAGAAATGAGCTGTCCCGGACTCCCGCCACGGGCTCAGTTCTATCACCTAAGCAGAAGCCGCTGGATCCCCTGTTCCCGTGATATGTATATATATATTCAAACATTTAAGAGCCCCTACTGGGATTCCTCTCCGGCAGGGATCCTTGCAGACCCCAAATGGTGAAACAACTCTTTCTATGCACACTTCAAATATTTACTTTGTGTTAAAGCCTAAGAAACGCAGTTTCTTTCCTTCACTCCTATGTATCTCCAATAACAGCTATAAACTTGATGCAGGAACTACAAAAGTGAGCGTGTAACTTTGACCTTCTCATTATTTAACATACGTGAGGAGCCAGATTAGAATCTGATTATGTTATTCTGAGTCTAAATATGGACAAAAATGGGGAAAAGTCAATGTATGATAGCAGGAAAATACTAAATACGTATACAGATATTAAAAAAATCAAAAGCAATGTCATTCAAATTGGATTTTTTATAAAAGTTATAAATTAGTTTATCCACTCCTATAAATCTTCTTAGAGGAATTTTTCCAAGATTTCAGAATCTCTTTTAGCTCATAAGAACTTATATTATTAAAAATTAAAATGATTTCTCCCAACAAACACGTAAATTTAAAGATAGCTGTTTTCTAGGATAATCAACTGAGATACGTACTAAACAGTCCATCCACTGACTGCGATCATTGTAATTAACTCAACAAGCAGCTTAATAAGTAGCTGCTTGGGTGATGGGTGATGGACTTGTCTAGATACCAAGAGAAAAAAGGAAAAATGACTCCTCCCTCAGGTAGATCACATGGGAATCAAAGAACCTACGTTTTTTTTAAAAAAAAAAAAATACATTGATTAAACAGGATGAGTACGATGGTTCTTTCTGTAAATTCCTAGTGGTTTTTTTTTTTTTTTTTTTTTTTTGGTTTTTGGTTTTTCTCCGGTACCGGGAACCGAACTCACGACCTTGCGCTTGCCACCTAGTGGTTTTTGGTCATTAAAGCTATAAACTTGTATCATCACTCCATCAAAATACTTATGAAGTGTTAGGTTTTGTTTTTCTACGAAATTTTTAACTGATCCTGTTTTTCTCCCACAGATTTTTGTATGAATACTCCAGTAATTATGGACAGGTTCCACTACTACTTTTAGTTGGTTACGCAAAGAGTTATCTCTCTATGGTCGGGTCCTGCTGCACCTCCCCAAGTCCAACCCTGTGCTTTGTGAAAGAAGTAGGTTCCATTCATTACCTATGTTCTATGTTTTTTCTTCATATAATTTTGCAATTAATAAAATTTCAAAAATGCCTCCATTAGGGTTTCATTAATTGAGAAATAAATATGCCAGTTCTAGAAAGGAGGTATCAATAAGTCCATTTAGTCAGTGCTCGGTTTTCTATTCATCAAAAATGTAATGAAATTAAAATCTATTTTTACTGTTTGTATACATTGTTTTTACTGAGTCTTGAATATCTAATGAGAGTCTTGCTTATTCTCTAGAGACTCCAGATTAGACACTTATCACTCCTGACCAGTATGTCCAATCGGTTCTGCTCACAATATGCTGTCTATGGAAAGGAGAAATCAAGGATCAGGTAAAAACTAAGCACAATGAGGTTTAGAAGTTTGGTTGTGTACCGTCTATCATATTAGTGTTCTCTAACACAATGTTTCTAAAAGACAATATAGAACAGAGTCTACCACAGAACTGCTCAAATACTCACTGACACTTTCTCTAGTGCTTCCTTCTGTTTATCTTTTACATTGAGATTGTGTATTTGGCAAATAGAGCATAAGAATTATAACATAAAATCACCACATATACTACTTAATTAATCATTACTTGATACTTGCATTAGTGACAAAGAATTTACTCCAAAGAAATACCATCTTTCTCAAGTGGGAAGAGGATCAAGAGATGGAGGGAGATAGAGGATGAGGAGAGAAGGAATGGAAAAAGGAATTTAGATGTACGTGTTCCGGCTTCCCACAAAGAATGTAAACATGACATATTGTAAACATGTACAAATAAAAAAAGCAATATAAGTTGCATTGAACCAATGTTAATGTACAAATTACTGCTGCCATATTTTTGATAAGAAAAAATTGTAGATTTCCTAAATAGGCATAGGATAAAAAATGTCCCAATTATGTACATAAATATAAAAGAATACCACAGTTTGCCTTAATTGTATAATAAAAGAGTACTTAGTGAAAAATGCAAAGCACGGCTCTAGAAAAGCAAAGAGAAAATACAATAAATGGAAAACATCTCGTGCCTGTGGTTTTGGGGAAGACTTAATACTATTAGAATATCCATACTAAAAACAATCTGCTGACCTAGTGGAATTTCTGTCAAAAACATAAAACATGTTTTGTCAAACAGAAAAATATGTTAGTTTCTATTATTATAACAAATATCTGAAATAATCAACTTATAAAGGCAAAGGGCTTCTTTCAAATTACAATTCTAGGGGTTTCCATCTGTGACTGGTTGGCCCTGTGGCGTTGGGGCTGGGAGGCCATAGCATGGTAGGAGCACACGGCAAAGCAGGAGAAACAAGAGAAAGAGGGCTGGGGTTTAATTACCCCCTTGGTGGGTGTGTCCCCAATAACCTACAGTCCTCTCTGTAGGCCTCATCTCTTAAGGATCCCACCACCTCCCAATACCGGGACTCTGGGACATTGCAGATTCAAGGTCTAGCACCATCTTAAAACTAAAAGGCACTCTTAAGGTACACCAAAGAGTCAAAGTAATTTTGGAAAAGAGTAAAATTGGGATCTTAAAACCTCTTGATACCAAAACATACTAGAAGGAAGCAGCACTCAAGATGTGTGATGCTGACATGAGGTCAGATAAATAGACCAAAGAAATAGAAAATAGAGCCCAGGCATAAAACATTTTCATATTTGAACAACAAGAGTACTGAAACTACTTGATGGGGAAAAGTTTCTTCAAAAAGTGATGTGAGAAAACTGGATATCCATGCGCAGATAAAAGAAGCTGTGCCCCAGCATTACACCATATGCAAAGTGAACTCAACAAGGAATTGAAGAGCTGAATGTAAGACCTAAAACTATAAAACTAGAAGATAACGTAGAGGGACATTTTCTCAGGGTGCTGGATGTGGCAATGATTCTTTGGATGTGACACCAGTGTGCTCAAGAAAAGCAAGGAAAAGGGAGCCACATTAAATATTAAACTTCTGCCTAAAGGACATAATCAGCACAGAGGAAAGGAAAGGCAAGGGGTGACTGAAATACATGGTGAAAATTTACATTTTTAAAGTGTATTACAGTAGAAGATGCATTGCTGTTTAGCCTCTCAAAATACTCCCCTTTCTAGGAACACACCTATCGCATTGTTCTTGCCACATTCTAGAGCAGGCATGGAAGTGCTCTTTCTTAAGTCTTTTTAAGGTGTAATCACAAATACACTGCACGCTGCCACTGAGAGGCATCTAAGGACAGGCAGACTCACAAACACATAAGCGTATGTCTCATGCACCTTATGCACTGCATCAAGCATCCTGAGATGTCTGGCTCTTCCCCAAAGTCAAAGCGACCACAAAAGGTAAGTGATTTAAATTAACTCAGGCACCGAGGCAGCCAAGACAGCATAGCTAAAGACAGAAGAGGACTTCCAGGTCTGCTTCAGGAAGTGCCAAGAATGACAAGTGTATCTGGAGTGAAGGGGAGGAGACTTCTGAAGGGGATTCATGTCAATATGTCTTTTACTGTAATACTTACATAATTTAAACCCTCATCCTATGTTTTGATCACTATGCGTATTTATATTCCCATGCTCATTGTAGCAGTATTCACAATGGCCAAGAGATGGATGCAACCAAAATGTATTTTGACAAGTGAAATGATAAAGAAAAAAACCTATATGTTACAATATTTTGTAGTCTTCAAACAGGTAATAACATCACATGCCACAACATGGATGAACCTTGAAAATGTGATGCTATGTGAAATAAGCCAGTTAATAAAAGACAGAAACTGTACAATGGCACTCATATAATGTACCTAAATTAGTTAAAATTATAAAAAGTAGATAGCTCATTGCCAGAAACTGGGGGTAGGAACAGAAGAATCAGTGTTTAATGGAATACAGCTTTGCAAGACAAAAATGTAGAGTTCCATTGCATTGCAGTGTAAATACACATAACACTTTTGCACTCTACACATTAAAATTGGGGAGAATGGTAAATTTAAGGTTGTTTTTTTTCCAACCACAATTCTTGAAAAAGAATATTTAATGATATTTTGAAGTATTAAGAATATTAATGTAGAAAAATATTTAATATTCTTGATATAGTGAGAAAAAAGAAAACATGAGAATAGTATAGCGCAATATCACTTACACATATAAATCTTATAAAATATGAGTATTTCATAACATCAACATTTATCAACGCTTCAGTGTAGGGCTGCAGCTTTTTTATCACTTCTTTTAGCTATGTAGTAGTTTCTATGTGAATTTATAAACACAATATAGGCATCATAACTAGAAAGGCATGACTGTGTTTTTCCCCTTCTACAATTGTTCATTTTTGCTCCATTTTTATGAGGCCATGTGTGCAGTACACAGTGTGTGTACTCCTTGCGTGGAGCTGGTGCCTGTATGCAGCACATCTCGATTCCTCTCCCACCCCTTCCCTCCATCTTCTGATCCCCTTCCCATCTGAGAAAGATTTATCTCCCTAGTTCTGAATACTTACACTTTCTTCATTGCTGTTTTGGATTCAACATTTTAAAGGCGGGCTTCAATTATGTAGATCTGGCCAGAAGAGAAATTGCATCTGAGTTCTGAAAATATGAAAACATTCATTTGGAATGACTTGATTCTGAATGTGTGGTTTCCGTACACAGACTCTATCACGTGGCAGATGCACTCCATACTTTGAAACTGCATTATTCAACTAGGTAGTGTGGTAATGAAACCAAGAACATGGAGAATGTGGGTATGTTAACAAATTCATTTTTAACTCCAGCTATCTCATAAAATTAGCCCAAAAAGTGCCTACTGCTGATTTGGAGGATGTTTTGCCACTAGCTGGAGACATCACCACAATGCTCTCTAAATGCTGTGAGTCCACCTCTGAGGACTGCATGGCCAAAGAGGTAAGGTGTAAGCCCTGAGCACTGCCGTGTGCAGTACCGGGTACATACTCCAACTGGCACACAAGCTTCTGAGCTGCTCTTCACATGCATTATCTTCTTAACTCTATAAAGAAAGATTAACAAGGTTCAATAGTCCAGATCTGTATAACTTTTAAGTGACAGGATCAACATATAAAGACATAATTAACTGATTCCCAAACTCTTACTCTACCTGCACTGTACAGTACAGTATTCATTAGCCACACACAATTAGTTAAATTTAATAATTCAAATTGAATATATATATTTAGATTGAATATAATTTAAAACTCAGTTCTTCACTCATGCTAGCCACATTTCAAATGCATAATAGTACTGTAGTGCAGAAATAGATCATTTCATTATTATGCCAAGTCCTATTAGTACTGAAACCGTTATACTATTAGATCCTATTAATGTTTCTACTACACTTTTTATAATTTGATGGGCAGCTCAAATGTTTTCACTATTTTTAATTTGTATAACTTTCTCAAGTAGATACCAGTTGAACTAATTGCTTTACATGAAGGTCAGTCTTCAAGATCTTGTTAGCCCGCTTAGTAATAGATGGCTTGTGTTGTCTGGGTTTTTCCATCAAAAATGTGTGACTGTGTTAATGGATATTTTTATAATGATATACAAGTTTAACTAGGACTCCGTTACATATCTCTATTACATGTGTCTTCATTTATGTCTACGGATATTCCATATTTTTACTTAATTAAGAATATTCACATTGATTTTTATAAATATGCTTCTAGGACTTATAAGATTAAGTCTTGCTTTTCATAAGGCTACCAAGGAAACTAACAAGGCACAAATTCACTGTTCCTTTTGTAGCTGCCTGAATTCACAGTAACAGTCTGTGACAAATTATCCAAGAAGAATTCTAAGTTTGAAGAATGTTGTCAAGAAGAAACGCCCTTGGGCATTTTTACGTGCATATACTTCATGCCAGCTGCCCCATCACCAGAGCTGCCAGCCATCGAGTTGCCCACGAATACAGAAGTGTGTGGGCAAAAAAACACCAAGGCCTTGGATCAGTAAGTAGGGGTGCTCTGGGATGTGCTTCTGTTCTACCCTGACTTGGACAAAACTTGGCTGAGGGAAGGTATGCTATTCATATGTTTTTTATGGACTTAAAGTATTTGTTAATTGATTTAAAATTGCTCAGAATTTAAAAACTGAATAGTCTGTTTTAAATGAAGAACAATCAAGTTTAATAGAAAGATTTTTATATGGAGAAACAAACTTGGGGTTCCAGATTCTGCCTCTCTGATTACTGGGCATGTGTAGTGAAAGAAGTGAGCTGATCTTTCTAAGCTCCAATCTCTTCTCACTTCACTTGAAAATGATAATATTGCCTTAGTGCACAGGTTGCCAATAGGACTTTCATGTAGAAATGCAAATGAAAGGAAGTTTGAGCTTCTTATACAATAAAATTCCCCATTTATTAAATATAGTATGACAAAAATATTTATCACATATTTAACTGGTTTTATAATATTACTTGTAATTCACTACCTCTAAGTATAAAAAGAATTTGAATTTGAAGAAATGATAAATCTTTATTTTGTTTTACCTTACTATAAAAAGAACTATAAGGCAAATATGCCATGGGTGGCATATACTATGAACACTCACTCAGTATACATAATCAGCATAAACATATTTCACAAATAGATTGGTAAAGAACTTTAGGGTATCAATTCCCAATATCAGAATTTAGATACTAATGGAACTTTAATTTACATTTTTCTTATAAATATTGTTTTCATAAGTGCATAGCAAACAGTTGGATAAGACATGATAAAGAAATTTATACAAACTTTATTTTTACACAAAAGTTGTGTAAAGTACCCACTCAATGTTGCCTATAGGATCAATTATATTACAAAGTACAGTTCCATGGGAGTTGAAGATGTGTTTATGTATTATATATTATATATGTATATATTACATGTAGAGCAGATTATGTATATGTATTATATTTACTTATATTATGTAATATATTAATATATACTTCAAAATATTAGCAACAGATTTTAATGAAATTATTATAAAATCTAAAGCTTGTAGATATTGAGTCAGTTTTGGCTAAATCTCTTAATTAAGATGCACAAGGGGGGGCTGGGGATTTAGCTCAGCGGCAAAGCGCCTGCCTGGCAAGCGCAAGGTCATGAGTTCGGTTCCTGGTACCGGAGGAAAAAAAAAAAAAGAGGCACAGGGGAAAAAAAAAAGATGCACAAGGGCTCTGCCTTTGTCATAAGTGTGTCCTGTTTCAGAACATAAACACATACACACACACCTACATATGCCTCAAAGAGTACTATCTATTTTCTTTTCTCTCTTGTTCAAGGTATACATTTGAACTAAGCAGAAGAACCCCTATTCCAGAAGTATTCCTCAGCAAAATACTGGAGCCAACCCTGAAAGGCCTTAATGAATGCTGTGACTCTGAAGACTCTTCCGCCTGCTTTACTGACAAGGTACAATGCTCGAGAGTTTCTTTTTCAACCACATCAGTCCAGGGTTGGTAAACTGCAGCTCATGGGCTACTACAACTTTTGCATGACCTCAGGATCAGAAGAGAAAAAAATTGTATGTCTTAATTAATGTGAAAAAACTAGCAAAAGTAAATAACTAATTCATGGCACATGAAAATTTAATGAAATTCAAAATGTTCATTGTAAAGTTTCAGTGGAATTCAGCCATCCTCACTGTGTATACATTGTTCAGGACTACTTTTGTCGAGGGGAGTAGTTATAATGGAGAATACATATGGTCTACAAAGGGTTAAATATTGACTATCTGGCCTTATACAGAAAATGCTTCCCAATGCCTGGTGTGGATGAAATATGGAATTCTGAGTCAGCAGCCTCATGGGACAGTGTTTCAAGACAAAGGATTTTGTCATGAGATTATTATTTTTTAACAGGGTTCTCAACTGAAGAAGAAATTATTTTCTTTCATTAAGAAAGGACAAGAATTATGTGCAGATTATTCAGAAAACACATTTACTGAATACAAGAAAAAGTAAGAGGCTTCTTCTGGTCACATTCTCTAAATGCGGCATTAATATTTGTCTAGTACTATACTATGGTTTTATGGTAATTGAAAGTCTAGGATATGGAAGCTGGGGATAAGCTCAGCAGCACAAGTGCCTGCCTGGCAAGCCCAAGGTCCTGAGTTTGATTCCTGGCACCAAAAAAAAAAAAAGTGTAGGATATGCTACATGAACAATAAAATGAAGAGTTGGAATTAAGGAGTTTTTAAAAGTAAAATCTAACACCAGTATAAGGAGCAGCTGTGCTCTTTTCCCAGGAAAAACATTCCCTGTGTCAAGTGAGCGGCCAGTCTCAACAAAAATCACACTAGCAAGTAGTTTCTTGCCCTGAAGTTATCTGTGGATATTGGTACACGTATTAAGGAGCTATAAAACTGACTTCATCACAGAAAAGAAGATCCAAACTTTTGATCTGTTGCTGTGTCAGTCATCAGCAGCATGTGCTCCTTATAGACTAGAAATGCAAATGTGAAAAACCTGCAATCTTGTACAGTAGTCATTTTCCCCAGTTAAGGAGGAGAAAGTATTTGTTATGGATAGATGTTAACAGTAAAATAATAAGCCTTAGTAATGACAGAGGAGGTACTGGATTCTTGGGAAAAGTCCCCACTTGGAAAGACCATGTCATTCTCAACTTTATTTTGTAAATATCCCAGATGCATTTCCAATCATTTTGAACCAGTAAGCACAAACAGAACGTCCACAAAGATCTCCCTAGAGAATTCTAAAAGTACGACATATTCAATGACTTCCACCAACTGTACCTTAGTCAAACTCCAAAAGAAAAGAAACCAATGTGAGCCTTAAGATTGAAATGGTGATTTCTCAGTTATCGGAAGTGTTCAATGGCATAATCTCAAAAGAACATTATGGAGATGTCAAGAAGATAATTCAAAATTAAGTGTCTGTTAAAGGTTTCAAGTTCCAGGGTTGTATGAAGTCAACTGAGAAATCATCTTATCATCTCAATTCCAGATGAACATGGAGGAGGCCTGACACTTGGGCTAAGAAATTAGAGAAGATTGAGACTATTGAGTTTAGGTGTCTGAAATTCCCTCCACCCTCTATTTATCTCTCCCATCTTCTACTTGCCTTCTGGTCAGCCTTGCCTCCCATCCCCAACTAGAACCTACTGTTTCAATAAAGCTTTCGTGGACAAACTAGGCTCCCCATAGGCTCCTGTCTCTTCCCTGCACCCACCTTGCCTTGCCCAACTCCAGGTAAACGTGGGTCTCTTCTACTTCTCATTGGTCATTTCTGAGCAGGCAGGAGCATCTTTTTTTTTTTTTTTTTTTTTTTTTTTTTTGGGGGGTTTTTCTCCGGTACCAGTACCGGGAACCGAACTCACGACCTTGCACTTGCCAGGCAGGCGCTTTGCCGCTGAGCTAAATCCCCAGCCCCCGGCAAGAGCATCTTAAAGAAGGTCACAAAACCAAGCTGAATTGTCCATTTTGAGAGGAGAGGCACCAAAATCACAGATATTCAAATCAAAATAATCAAGTGTTGTCACATGCTATCACTATTTTGAATGTGAGACAGTTAGCCAATGAACAGCTAAAAACAAGGGCCAAAGTGCCTGGCTCCTGCTTCAGTGTTTTCTAGCATAAGGGGTTGAGAAGAGGCAAACTGAGAGGGGAAATATGGGAGGAAAGGAAACACATAAAGATACAGGAGGTCTTGTGAAGGAAATGTCCTTTAAGGAACTTGAAAGCCAAAACCAGAGATGGAATGAAAGGTCAGAGGAAATAGAAGAGAAAATCATTCATGTTGAAATAATAGCCAAACAACAATGGAATGATTGGAGTTCAGTTTCAGCAGCAATTTATATGTTTACTTTCATGGTCTTGAAAGAGGCATAGATTTTTCTTTCTAATCTCAATATCACCAAAACTCATTCAACAACTACAGAAAAATGGCATTTATGATACCTACAAGTATTTCTATTTTTTTATTGTACAAGATTTGAATTGGATGTCACTTTGCCTTAAGAATGTTTATAAGACATATCTAGAAAACCTTACCTAAACATGGTGTTTCAGATTGGCAGCGCGACTAAGAACAAAACTCCCCGATGCCACGCCCACGGAACTGGCTGGCCTGGTGGACGAACGCTCGGACTTTGCCTCCAAGTGCTGCTCCATAAATTCGCCACCTCGCTACTGTGATGCACAGGTGAGAAAGCATAACTCTCTACTTATCCTTGAAGAAGACGGAAAGAGTCTGTGCGCTCAGATTCACTCAGTTCTGTCTTGTTACTGAAATATTATGACAGTGCTCTCACAACTTTGGTGTCTTACCAGTGAGAGTAAGAAAACAACTGTTGCCATATTATGTTCGCTTAAAAGCAAATTTATGAAGGTAGCTACAAGCTTAGAAAATTTTATGTTTTAAGAAACAAAAAGGTTTATGAATACAGGCAGCAAAGTGTGTTTTTCAGACCAGAGCCTGTACATATACATGCACGTTTATGTAGTCATACACACATACACACTTATGGGCAGGCAAATTCATAAAAAAGATACTTTATAAAAATGGTGTCATGTCTTTTATTTTACCAATCAAATTATTAAATTTCATTTTGTTTTAATATGAAACCAGAAAAAAAAATGTAACTGAAAAATTTCTAAAGGTTACAAAAACGTTTCTTTACCATAATAGTTATTTTCTGAAGTTAGAGGATTTACTATTAAATGTTAGTCTTTTTAACCATGAATATTTCTTTCAGACACTATCAGTGGCTCTCAATTCTGACAGACAAAGATATTAGAACTCTTAGATATGAATCTTCCAACTTTCTTCCCCACTTCTCTCAATTATTGTTAACTCTTCAGGTCATCTTTCTTTAAATGATGTTCCTTCTCTTCTTCCCTCTTCTCCTTCCCATTCCTCTTCCTCTGTCCTTTCTTCCTCCTCTCTTTCTTAAATATATTTGCATAGTTTCTACATCATGTGTTTTTTACTCTGTACAATCATGAGCTTTGTGTCATAATAGATAAATTCGTATTTCCCTACTCATGGCATCCAAGCCTTTTTGGTTCTCTCCTGTAAGCCGGAGTGAGATTGCCTCTTCGGGTCCCTCCAACTCTTTGTGGACTGCTGGCCAGCAGAGCCCCATTCAGGCCATGTGGGCCACGGTGACAGCCCTCGGCTCTCCCTAACTTCTGAGATTTGTGAGAGTCTTACATTATACTCTCGTCCTCCAAGGCAGTTACCAATTTCACTTTATGAAAATAAGTTTTGTATGCCTTTTTCAGAAATAGCCCACATATTTTTCATTTTATCTGTTACTCTCTATTAATTGCTTGCATTATTTAGTAGAGCCCAAAGGTAAGGGCAACGCTATATATCATTTTACCCCACTGGAGATAGGAGTCATAATTCCAAGAACTTCATGGCCTTAGCCACATCATTTATGGAATATGGAGGCTCTGATAAGAACAACTCTACACCATGCCACAATCTTTCTTCCTTGTTTAACTCTGAAGCTCATATTAAGTTGTACCCCTTTCCCACTCTGCTGGCTGAAGTTGAGGTGTTTTGTGTTTGTTTTTTCTTTTGTTTTGTTTTATTGTTTGGGGGGGGGTTAAACCAATTGAATTTATTATTTTCTTCTTTTTTTATTTTATAAACAAATAAAACAAATTTTCATTACCAAATAATGAGAATAATAATAGTTATTACACTATGTATCATTACCTTCAAAGTAGTCACTAAGAAACATAAAGCACTGCTACTGATCTTAGTTGTCCTGTGCTGGGAAGGACCTTACTGAAACAAAATACTTGACACTCAAAGTTAAAGGAGGACAGTTTTATTTACCTCACATTCTGTAGAGGTTTCAGTACACAGTTGGCTGTCTCCAAGGCAGGGTAGCATGAGAGAGGGCCATTGCAAGGATAAACAGTTCATGATGGGCAGAAGGTAGAAAAGCAGCAATGTAACAAGCAACAAGCAATGACACTAGCCCTCTTTCTGTCTCATATTTTATCTAGGCTACCTGCACTTGAGCAGGTAACACTCACATCCAGGGTAGACCTTTCCATTATCCACTCCCAGATCTAAGCCAAACCAATCAGTAGACTACTATAGTAATCACAGACCTTTGATCCCAGTATCATACACTTAATCCCAGCATCACAAACTCTAGATTTGGCCACCTCTGAAAAGCCTCATCTATGACCGCATGAGGCCTTGAGGGACATCTAGACACAAACCATAATAATTAATGATCTCCTTTCCCTCATCCCAGTTGTTCTAGGAGAAAAGAAAGAAAGAAAGAAAGAAAGAAAGAAAGAAAGAAAGAAAGAAAGAAAGAAAGAAAAAAGAAAGAAAGAAAGAAAGAAAGAAAGAAAGAAAGAAAGAAAGAAAGAAAGAAAGAGAAAAGAAAGAGAGAGAGAGAGAGGAAGGAAGGAGGAAAATATACATATATACACAGAATAGCTAAGATAATTATACTGCTGATTTCTATAGGTTTATTGAAAGTACTAACAGTTAATGCCTACATTTTTTGACCAATTTCGTGTGCTTATATCTGTTAATATGAACATCTAATTTGAAGACAACAATAGGCAACATAACAACCATTGCTGAATTCCTAGCATCTTGTTTTGAGAAGTTCTGTATCATTTCTAATATTTTTAAATATTTTTATGCTCTTTAAAATAAAAAATAGTAAAAAAGTAATGATTTATGATCTATATTTTACTTTTTAGATTTGTTTGTCTTTATAGAAAAATAACTGTACTGTGAAGGTCATCACTAGGATCTTAGCCTAATGATTTAATACCAATTATAAGTCACTTTCTATAAATATTTATTTAGAATGTATATGAATTTTTGCTCATTAAACTATGAAAGAAAAAAAGGATGGTTTCTTCTATAGCATATTTGAAAATATCCAAGAAATTGATGTAAGAGAATCACAAAAGTATAAATGTTCGAAGAAAACTATTAAAATTATCGAGTGTAATTTCTCACCCAGTTCATTCCTTTCAGAGCCTACTCAGTCCCCATTTAAATACTTGTAGTCAACTTATTTTTTCTGGATTTAGAAATTGCCTATTTCACTGCAAGTAGCTTTGTGAAAAGTTTTCCATAAATTAAGCATGATAATCCCTTCATAATTTCCATCAAATGTACATTGGATTTCTCTAAAATGGAAAATGATTGGTCTGTTCTCAGTAGCAGTTCTTTTATATTTGAAGTGACTTTATAGAAATTATGCTATGAAAAGTACTTTGTAAAAAGCCTTACAATATAAGTATAAATTCTCTTAATATTTTAAAGAAATTTTGTTTTGCTTTTTATTGTATTGCACCTAAAAAACAAAAATTTTAATCAGCTTGACAAATACAGCTGCATAGCATTCTTTTCTTTTTAACTTCCCTTAAGGATCTCCTGAGGGATGATTTCTCTCCTGATTTTTACATTTACCTTCTAGTCTCTATTTGATTCATGTCTTTGACTTGCTTGTCAGTGTATTTTCCATTATAACATATTGTCATTGTAAAACACTTTTAGTTTCAACTGCAGTGATGAGGTGACAGATTTCTATTTTCTTGTTTTGTCACCAGCAAACTTATACTAGTGCAGCTAAGTAGCCCATCATTCAATAATTGCTAAAGAAGAGGTAGATCAATAGGCTTGTTAAGACTCTTGTACATAACTGATGATTTACAGCCCCAGAGACTTGATGCTGTGCTGTTTCTGTAGCCTTCTATGGGAAGGAACACCTGTCATGTCATGTCATGTCATGGAACACCTGATAGAACAGCGTTCACCTTATTTCCCAACAGTTAATGTGGCTATTTGTCCTATTTACCCTACATTCAGAGCAAAACATACTAGGTCTCCTTGTTCTATATTTGCATGACTTTTTTGTGTGTAAATGAATGCCTACCCACTCCTTTCACTCTTATATCCAGAGATCGAGCTCTGCTTGCTTTTCTACATGTACTTGACACAACTACTGAAGGGTAGCAAAAGGGCCCAAAGTAGAGTTTCACTAGGAGGAAATCCAGCCACCATCATCCTAATCAACATGATTGAGAAATAAGACAACTAGCGATATTTCCTTTGGCTTTATCATGGCACTGTCACAATGGGCTCACATGTTTCTGCCATAGAGGCCCATTACCTGAAAGACAACAGGTAGTTTCAAAGTTTCTCTCTCCACCGTCACACAGACAGGACATCCTGATACACTCTTCTGAGAGCTCATTACTGAATCTGCTCTGGGATGTGACTAAGAGAGATTTAGTCAACACCAAACATGACTGTCCAAAGTCTGTAGAGAGCTGCAGTTACAAGCTGCAGTTCAGCACTAGAGTTTTGAAAGCAGACGGATGCAAACAGCCAGGGGGAGCTCGGTGGACAGAGTGCGGACTCCACCCTCAGGGTGGACTGTCACGTTGCTTCCCTTCTGAACCCTCTCGGGAGATGGAGAAGGCATGATGTGTCGAGCAGAACAGTAACAGCCTTACACAGGCACATATTTATAGAATAATCTGGAACAACCCTGAACGTTAAGTACCATTTAATAGACAGGCAGAATGTGATTTACAGAGGTTATAGGATGATAGGAAAATCCTAGGCTCATTATACACATTAGCCTGTTCCGCTCATTCCACACTGTCGAGGTCTTCAATCCTCACTGAGCTAATTAGTACAAAAGTGAAATCTTGACAGCAAAAGACTAACTATTGGCTGAAAACCAAATACTGTTATTAAAATCACAAAACATATACCAAGTTAAAAGCATCACTCTGAATTTCACTGACCTCCATTCCCTGTAATCATTCTCCATTCATTGTAGTGTCTACTTTTGCATTAACAATTTCTTTTCACTGGTTCTGTCCAGTTTGTATTAAAGTTGCTTTTCTTATCTCAAAAATATATAAATGACAGACAAACAAACTATGGACACTTCTCTAGCTATTTTTCTTTTCTTCTCTCCTTATGAGATCCTGGAAACCCACAGAGTATCCCTGCCTCATTATACCTCCTGGAAGTTATCCAGTCCTGTGCAGTCTGGCTTCTGATGTTACCACACCACTCCCATCATGGTCGCGCCAGTAGTCTCCTTCTTGATAAATCCAACAAACCTTGCTCAGACCTTGTCAGACTTCTCTGCAAAACACTGGATTTGCAGAACCTTCTCTTCCTTTCTGAATCAATTTCTTTGGCATCTGTGGTATATTTTCTGCTTTTTCTCACAAGTTTTTTCCTGTCTTGTTTTGACATTTTCCTCTTCCTGTATCTACCCATTAAACTTCTGTATTTCAGAGTTTTTTCCTTGGTCCTTTCCAACCCCAAGGTATTTCCCTGAGGGTTCTCTCCTGCACACGTGCCTCTATGCTACAGCTCTGTGTCCAGCCAGGTCTTCTTCCCTCAGTGCCAGCATCTTCTCAGGATCTCCCTGAGGCTCTGTCATCACATGAGATCTCATCTCATAAGAAATTCAACTCAGCCAGGCAGGGTAACAAATGCCTAAAATCTCAGCACCTCGGAGACTGAGGCAGGAGGATCCCTTCAGATCTGAAGCCAGCTTGGGCTACATAGTGATTTCAAGGCCAGCCTGAAATATATACAGAGACCCTGTCTCAAAACACAAAACAAACAAAGTTCAAAGTCAATGTAACCAAAATCTTTTTTCCAAAATTTTCTTTCATGTTTCCTAAATTTATTAATATCATCATAATTTTCTGAAAATAAAATCTTAGTGATGATTTATCCTTCTTTTTTTCCACACATATCCAATCACATTCTAAGTCCTATCAACTCTAACTTAATATTTCTCAATATTCTACCTGCCTTTTTCAACATTTTTAGTGCCTAACTTTAGGAAATCTTTCACCGGGACCACAGCTTCCCAGGAGGTATTATATTTGTAGTCTGTCCCCAGGGCTTCATACTCAACTCCATCTCCACACTCAGCCAAGATAATCCCTGTAAAATATAAAATAATTCACATGTTCCCCCCATACCTTTCCATTGCTTCCAAACTGAAGGCCAAATTTCCCCCAGTCAAGGGTGTAGAACCCTTGATTTCTTCTGCAGCCTGACCGCCTAGTGTGTGTCTTGCACTTCCTGCTGGGTTCTCCAGGTTGCCTTGCAGTTCCCAAACATTAAACTTGCTCTCATCTCAAGGTCTCTGTGCAGAAAGACTCATCCCAGCTTCCCCATCCTGCAACAGACATCAGGATACTGTTCAAGCACCATCTCATCCAGGAATCCCTCCCTGGCAGACTCTTCCTCTAACACATAACACTGGATGTACACCTCCTAATTAACATTTATTAAATTCTTCTTTTTTGGTCTATTTTTCCAAGAAGACTATAAACTCTTTTTTTTATTTTAAAGAGAGTAATAAATGAGAAACAAATAAACAAAAAAATAGAACAGTAGCAGCGTACCAGTATCACAAACATAAACAAATCAAAGCAAGAACATTCAAAGTGATACAGAGTCTCAGGACAAAATAATATGAATCAACAGTGGTTGTTACATTACATATCACTATCCTCATGTACATTGCTCAGATTACCAGATGTAAGAATGGAAGCTTGCTCAAACCATTAAAGGTTATAAGAAAATAATTCTTCAATAAAACAGTAAAGATAATACGGAGTTTCACTAGACAAGATGGTAGGAGTTCGCCATTGTAATTCCATTGCATATTGTTACCTTCAAATCAGTTGCTCAGACCACCAGACAGAAGCATGCAAAATCGATCAGAACATAAAAAATTTTAATCATTAACTGTTCATTTCAATACACTATCAGACATCAGTAATAGTTATCGCAGCTATTCGTATATATATTTATATTTTGCATTCCTTCTTTCTTTTTTCTTTTTTCCCTCATCTCATTCATTCCTTCTTTTGAGCAATTTCTTTCCCTTTCCTATCATCTATTGTACATTTTGAGTTTTATCTAGTCTTTCAGGTTCCTACACCAAGGAGACAATATGTTTACCCATCTGGGTCCAATTTATTTCACTTATGAGTATGGTCTCTAGTTGCATCCATTTACCTACAAAAGCCTCGAGATTATCTTTTTAAATAGCTGAGTAATCATTGTATAAAAATACCACATCTTTTTTTATCCATTCCTCAGTGGATGGACATCTGGGTTGCTTCCAAGATTTAGCTATAACAAATTATGCTGCTATAAACATGGGTGCACATATATCGCTGGGGTATGATGTCTTTAATAAGATGGTAAACTCTTTAAGGCAGGGAATAATATAAAGCTAAATAAATGTGAAGCACAACCAATAAAAACTATAGCATGAAATTGCATTTTGACAACACTCTTCTTCTAAGCTAGCTTTCAGTATGAGGTATACCTTCTCTCTGATCTTCTAGCCTGCAAATAAAGGACCTTTTGAATTATATATTACATTGTTTTTGTTATCAGATTGATGCCGAAATGAAGGATAGTCTGCAGTCATAAAGCACATGGGTCATCGTAGGTAAGTACAATTTTAAAATACAGTACCAAAGAATCCAGCATTGCACAATGTATTTTAAAATCCGAGTGGGAAGTAGAGTTTATTCAAATTACTTGTCCTATTTATCGTCTATTGAAAATTATTTTATACTTGAGAATACTAATCATCTAGAAAAGGTAAAGAGCTTTGAGTGCACACATCCACTTCCTGACACATTTACAGGTAAGTCCGGAGTTATAGGTCCCCATCCTGGTGCTACATCCATCGTAAGTTTGCAGCTAAGATGACATAGTGATCACTACAGGGATCCTGACGTCCCTCAGTAGGAAACAATATGAAAACGGGAACGACTGAGTCTTAAAAATAATACAGCATGCTGCTCAGGGGGGAAAGATATTCTTCTTCAAATTAAAACAGCACTGTTGGAGTATGACCACGCCAGCCTCTTTCAGATATTACACTTTATTCATGTAACAATGCCTGATGAAGATATTAAGAACATAGTTTATTTAGACATAATTTCATACATTAAACTCCAGGTGACCTTAACTCTCATTTCAACCAAAATATTTTCTCTCCAGAACGGATTAAATTCATTTTAAAGAATGACATTTGAGATATATTTAAATGATGCAAACAGTGGATTGAGGTTACCTCAGATCTCAATTGAACCGAGGCTTTTTAATGTCATCAAATTTTTGTTTCATTTGTTTTGTTCTATGTTGTCCAAAGTGTGGAACTACATGCCCTCTAATCCATTGACTAATGGAACTAAGTCATTTCACCATATTCTGCTTTTCTACTATCAATTTTTTAATTGTTTAAAACAATAAAAATGAAAGTACTTAGAAACAGTAAAAGGTGACTGAGTGGTCAAGGAAACTCATTTCTGGATTCATCCAGTCTTGATTAGAACCCCAGTCCAATTACCTATCTTTGTAAATTTAAACCTGTTATCTCTATTGTCCAAATTTCAATTCCCATCTCTGCAAAGTAAAAATTTTGATATCTACCTCAGTGCTGTTAAAATGATTGAAATGATGTATATAATGTCTAAAAATTAGTAACAAATATTAGCAATAATACTGGCAAATTGTTGCCACTGATTTTTCTACTACTAACATCTCCCATCTGTACCCTCCAGGCACCAAGCTTTTGACACCAGGCCTTTGTGGGTATCCGATATCCAAACTGCTACAAAGGCCTCATTATGCTATTGGTATAATGGTATAATTTGCTCTGGCAATAATTCTTGTGGTTCATAGTCATTACTTTTATCTGTATAAAATTTTTTCAACTGTTTTCCCTGGGTTAGTCTGTATTTTTCTCTAGATTTTAAGAAATCCCTCAGTTTCTGCATCATCCAGTTATTTGGCCACTCAAATACATTTTGATCATCTGAATACAAGCTCAAAAGTCATTCACAAATTTCTTCCTTAGATTTCAGCAAAATGCTTTGGCTTTTTTGAGCTCAATTTTATTCTTTGCCTGTTAATCATAATCTCAATCTGCAAAACTAAAGGCCTACCAGTACTCTATTATATAACAATTACATGGTTTTACAAAACAAGATTATATCTTTTTCACAAATTATAAGATTGCTCTATTTAATATCCAGAAGTAATGATACAGCCTAAACTGTTGTTTAGGCTTCTAAAATGCAACCAGAAGATTATAGTTCCAGGGATTCAGAGAGAATTTTGTTGCCATATTGAACAACTCCAGATTCATTCAGTTACCTATAGCTTTGCCCCAAAACAATATGATCCCAGTAGTGGGGTGCTCTGAACCCAAGTTCTGATTTAATGACTAAATATCAAGTACTTTTCCCACCGAGTAAACTTCCCATCATATTTTAAATTACTCTAGAAAATATCCACTTTCTTCTATGATTTTTCTCTGACTATAACAGAAAAGCTTGCTGCTGGCTGCAGAGGCACATTGTTTAGTGAAGCTGTTCCTAAACAGTTTAGCTAACTTTGGGGGGCCATGTATTTCTTAATAAAAACCTACCAATCTCTAGGGAGAGACCTGAGCAGCTTGCAGAAAGTGGAATCCTTTTGTCTCTAGGTATTCTAATCCATAGGTAAACATCCAATTCATGCCTTACAGTCAACAGTAACATGATTCTTCACAAAAGTTATTGCCAACTTGAGTTGTCATCTTGACAGTTTTGGGGCCCTGAATCAATTATTTTCTTCAAGACTTCAAGCCCCCAAATTGGATTGGGGCCATATTTGCACACCCCACTGAGAGGAAATTACTGTGTCTCACAGTGTCAGGTAATCTTTTCTCCTTCAGCTCTGGAAACATGTTTTTAGTGTCCCCTGGATTGCTGATGGATAAAGGAGTTTCCTAACTTGGTCAAATCAAGCTGGGAGTAAAACATTTTAGATACAAGCGTCACGCCCAGCACAGAGAGCTCATGCTGGGGGAGAAATAGATGGCAGGCTGAGAGAGTACCGTGTTGGTATCTCTGATTTCACCCTTATTCCAAGGCATAAACTTACTGCAGACAATGAAAAATGGAATTTTTGTCCACATGCAAACAAGACTCTGATTGTTTTGAAAGACAGAAAAAAATAAGGGGCAAAACATATACCATAATACAAAGTAGAACAATTTGATTTTTAAAGCTTCATACTCATCAATGTTTTACCAAAACAAAAACTACTGAACAATTTTCTCAGTTCCAGGAGCAGGAACTGTAGCAGTCAGCTTTTCATCACTGTAACATAATACCTGAGATAATCAGCTTATGAAGAAAAGGCTGTGTATTTGCTGACACTTTTAGAGGTTCTCATCCATGACCGAGCAGACCCACTGCTGTCTGCCCCAATGGAGGAGCTGGAGAGCAGTAGTGAGGAAGGTGAGCAGGGCAAACACTTTGCCTTAGGACCACGGAGAAAAAGGAGAGGCTGGTGTCCCACAGTCTCACATCCAGTGACCAAAGGACCTTCCATTAACCACAACTCTCATATTCTACCCTCTCGCAATTATGCCCACCTACCGACCAAGATTTTAACAACATGGGTCTTTTGGACATTCAACATCCAAACTATAGCAGGAGCCTCATTATACCTTTCATTGCCTTTTGTGTCCTGCAGTGACTGTCCACTCTCATAAAGCAGAAAGTCAGACACATTGTTAGTTCAAAGAAGAAAAACAAGACACTGGATATGTTCCTTTGTATAAACAGAAGCAATGACTTCTTTTCCTTTAGTATTGGGAATTTCTTACCTTCTTCTTCTGGACCCATAAAGTGGACCATGTGGATATATGGATCATGCTAGCCAGGTTTATCTTTATCATAAACATAAAAACAGCATGATGTTGTGTACCTCTTATGACCAGGGTTATGGTTGATGGCTTTAGCTATTTCCTAATTTACCATTCATTTCCATCCTTGTAGACCTAGCCCTGGAACAACCATGGAATGAGCTCTGATGGCCAATCCAAAGCATCCATGGAGACCCTAGAATACTCTCTACCTTTTCCTGCTACACTGTCTTCATAGAATGGTCACCATGATGATTTGCTACGGAAATAAATTGAAATATAATAAAAACAATAAATACATCTAAGAATGACGGTCTTGAGAACTGTTCATGCTTCTTTCACAAAGATGTAATGGGAGGCAGCCTGAACCTCACCACCCTGTTTGTTACTAGATCTTTGCTTTTCCTCTTAGAGACAACCTTTATTATCCACTATATAATTTCCAACACTGAACTCCATCTCCTGATTGCTTCTCAGGTTTAGTGGGTGCCATTATGCAAAAGATAGCCTTCACCACAAACTCCCTGGGATAACGCCCCGCTTAAGAGCAAAACAAAACACCCCTTGAGACTCCCCTCTTGCTTCCAGCTGCAGGTTGCATTGATTAGGTATTATCCACCTCATAAAAACAAAAGCTTTGTGGCCTAATTGAGCTTTTGTTTACTTGCCTGCTTGCTTGCTTGCTTATTTTTGCTAGACTCCTGAGAACAATTTACTGAGACAAAGTTATAAATATAATTTTTCAGCTTACTTCAATTTAAAATATATGAAATATGTATGATTTTCTGTGTACCTTCTTTGCCCAGGAAAAATGAAAGCACTCTAACTTTGAAAGAAAGATCATATTTTCAAAATAAATATCTCTTAAACCAATACAAGCCAAGGAAAATCTTTGAAATGCAGAGTTGACTGCACCAGAGAATTTTAATTCACCTCATGAAAGATGTAGAATTATATAGTAGAGATGAAACATATTTCTTGGAAAACATTAGACAAAATCATCTCTCTCACTTAGCAGTATTCTAAGTCCCATCAAGAAGTGTTTCATTCACTAAACCAAGATCAGGTGCCCCATCATTAGCTAGAAAATAAAATGCATATTCCTTCACAGTTTCTATGGTAGCAGATGCAGTCCTACCTCCCACAAATATTTTGAAATGGAAAACTAACCTCGAATTCAGAAACCCTCCAGTTGCATGAAGTCACAAAGCAACAAAGTATCCACTACATAATTAGGCAGCATTTTTAGATATTTTAAAAACATCTGCAAATATTACCTTACTGAAGCTTATAACAACTCTGAGAAATAGATAACATTTATAAAATATGAGAAGACAAATTTCAAAAAAGTAGCTCAGTGGTTTAAACTCATAGCATTATCAAAGCACAGAATTGAAATTTCTGTTCAATTCCAGCCTTCTCTGGAGGATTAACAGGCATACGTGAATCAAATTAGTTTTTGAAACATAGTACATTTCTCACTTCAAGAGTCAAAACTGCAAGTCTATATCTGGTAATCTGAGCAACTACTTTGAAGATAACAATATGCAATAGAATAACCATTGTTAATTCCTAACATCTTCTTTGGAAATTCTACATCATTTTTATTGTTCTTTAAATTCTTTTTAAATTAAAAATAGTTGATCTCCAACCATCCCATCTATAATACAGAAAAAGAGCCAAAAGTCATTGTATATAATTCATCATACCTCAGATTCACCTAGCCACTACACCCTTTTGTTATTAATACCCAGAATAGGGCTGGGGATTTAGCTCAGCGGCAAAAGCGCCTGCCTGGCAAGCGCAAGGTCGTGAGTTCGGTTCCCGGTACCGGAGAAAAACCAAAAAAAAAAAAAAAAAAAATACCCAGAATAATTGCTCTGTGAAATTAATTTGGAAACTTCTGCTTTGCTTTTATTTGAGAAATTTACAAATCACTCGTGAAGTACTGAAAACTAATCCCATCTGGTCAAACATTTCTACCCTTCATCCTGTAAAACTGGATGTTTCAGTCTGGCACTAGGTAGCCAATAAATTTTAGAAGATTTCCTGGAGTAATGTTTTCACAGTTCCATTGAATACATAGTAATACCTTGGCTCAAAAATGCTTCTGTTTGAGAACAGTTCAGTTCACCAGCAGAAGCACTTGGCAAATATTTGGTTCTGCTCACAAATTCTGCATAAGATGAGTAACACCAAATGGTCATCTACCCCACATGAACATGAATGCAGCCATCTTCCTCAGAATCTTGGAATGAATTACATTTATGAACCGAGATAACACAGTATTCTGCAACAAGTTTGGAAAACATTTCACCATTTTTCCTTAAATTAAGAATCATTAATCCAAATATTCTGTCATTTTAGTATGAGTTTATTTTTATTACATATGTAGTTACATATATATATATATATACATATACATATAATTATGCCCTTATTTTCCCATTTCATAGAATGCAGAGATCTTTTGATACTATATCATCAAACACGTTTGATATTTTCAGTTCTTTATATGTTCTAGATATTAGTCCTTTGTCTGAGGAGCAATTTACTAAAATATTTTCCTATTTGTAGGTGGGTTGTCTTTTCGCTCTTTGGGTAATTTTTTTTTTTTTTTTGCTGTGCAAAAAATAATAAGATGAGATCACAATTTTTTAATTTTAATAAGATGAGATCACAATTTTAATAAGATGAGATCACAATTCTTTTTAGTATTTCCTATGCAATCTGGGTTTTGTTCATGAAGTCTCTGTCTTCAAGTGTTCTACCTATTTTCTCTTCCAGCAGAATTAGTGTTTCTATTTTAATATTTAGGTATTTAATCTATTTTGATTTTAGTTTAATGCATAGTGAGAGACATGGGTCTAGTTTTAGTCTTTGACATGTGGAAAGCCAGTTTTTCCAGCACCATTTATTAAAGAGGCTATCTTTCTTCCAGTGAATGTGTTTGTCTTCTTTGTAAGGTGGCAAAGATAAGGTGGCTGAGTGTATTTAGAGTATTTTCTGCATCTTCTATCTGTTCCACTGATCCTCAGGTCTGTTTTTTTGTTTGTTTGTTTGTTTGTTTGTTTGTTTGCTTTTGCCAGTACCATGCTGTTTTTATCACAGAAGCTCTGGAGTATAACTTCAAGTCAGGCATTGTGATGCCCCCTACCTTGAACTTCTTGCTCAAAATTGATTTTGCTATTCTAAGTCTATTCTGGATCCAAATACATTTTAGGATTGTTTTATCTAACTCTATGAGGTATTAATGTTATTTTTATAGAGATTGCACTAAATCTATAACAATTTTGAAAATGGGACCATTTTCACTATGTTGTTTCTTCCTACCAAATAGCAAAGGGTATCTTTCCATTTTTGGATATCTTCCTTGATCTCTCTTTTTGGAGTACTATAGTCCTCAATATAGAGATCTTTTACTTCCTTTTTTAGATTGATTCCTAAGTATTTAATTTTTTGATGCTATTGTGAAAAGTGTTCTTTCCTAATTTCTCCCCCAGTGAGTTTGTTATTTGTGTACATGAATGCTATTGATTTTTAAGTACTGACATTGTGTTGAGCCATGCTCCTGAATTTGGTTATTAAATCTAGGAGTCTTTTGGTGGAGTTTTTGGGGTTGTCTATGTCGTCTACCATGTCGTCTGCAAATAATGATAATTTTACTTCTTCCTTTCCTATCTTTATTCATTATATTTCTCTCTCTTGTCTAATTGATCTGGCTAATATTTTCAGAACTATATTAAATAGAAATGGTGATAGTGGACATCCTGTCTTTTTTATGACTTTAGAGTGAAAGCTTTAGGTTTTAAACTGGTGGTCTTAGTTACTTTTCTCTCGTTGCTGAGACAAAATACCCGACGCCCAAAGTGAAGGAAGGAAAGGTTTATTTGGCTCACAGTTTGTGGAGGTTTCAGTCCATACTTGGTTGGCTCCGAGGCAGAAGACAGCAAAACAACAAGAGCAAAAGGGGAATGGCAGCAAGTAGCCTCTTTCCCTCCCTTACATTGTAAGAAGGCTACCCCCACCCAGGGGGCGGCACTCACATAGTTAACCTTCTAAACTTCTCACATTGATACAATGAATAACATCCTAGAGCAGGAAGGGCATGTCCTTTGCACCCCAGGATGTAGAACTGCTGAGTCACTCAGCCAAACTTCTAGACTCCCCAAGTTGACACAATGTATCAACCATAACAATCCACCCCTTGTCAACTTGGCAACTAGATACATTTCTTTAAACAAGTTTCCAGATACAAAGACATTATATTACGTTAGAACCATAACACTGGTAAATATAATGATCTGTTTTAGACGGCATTTGTCATAGACGGCATTAGAATGACATTCACAAGTCACATTTTTCAGGGCTTTCCAACAAAACCAATAGTTGCAAATAAATAAAGAGATTTGTTTTAAAGAAATGGTTTAACGGGCCAGGGGATTTAGCTCAGTGGCAAAGTGCCTGGCTGGCAAGCACAAGGTCTTGAGTTCGGTTCCCGGTACCGGAGAAAAACCAAAAAAAAAAAAAAAAAAGAAAGAAATGGCTTAACCGGTTTGAAGTAGGAACTCAAAATGACATGCTAACAGTTTAGAAATTCAGGCAGGATTTCTGTTATCAACTTAAAGTGGAATTTTTCTTTTCTAGGAAACATCAGTTTTTGCTTTCAAGGCCTGTAACTATTATTAGGTGAGGTTCACTCATACTGTTAATGATAAAACACTTTACTTACTGTCACTTTATGGTAAAGGTTGATCACGTCTACAAAATACCTTTACAGTAATGTCTGCATCAATATTTCACTAAACAATTTGGTACCAAAGCCTATCCAAGTAGACACATAAAATTTAACTGTCACTCAAGCTTTCGGTTCAACTTGAGACACTAACTTCTGGTGTTTTTCTGGATTCCTAGGTCATCCCAAAAGGTGGTTCTTAAACACCTCCTGAGAGGAATCACTCACACAGTTTTCACAGGATTAGTGTTTAATTATCTCACCTAATAATTTCCGAAACACAAAGCTTGCTTTTATAGAGATTTTGACAAACACAAGTGAAAAACCATTCTAGTATATTATTTAATTCAATAGTTATAAGTCCCAGTAAAGCAGAAATTTGATCAGCTTGACAGTGTATCTTTCACTAGGAAATAGCTAAGGATAAACAAGAAAATTTGGAAGGCTGTCTCTTACACTGTAGTCTCCCTTTTTTGCACCTGTGTCTTAGTTACTTGTCTCTTGTTGCTGAGACAAAATACCACGCACCCAAAGTTAAAAAGGGAAAGTTTTGTTTACCTTACAGTTTGTGGAGGTT